ACAAGCAAAAGTGCTTGCCACTCACAAATAGCTCAGTTCTCTGTGGAATGAAGAAAACAAATTGTTCTTGCACTGGCGGTAACGCAGCCGGGTTCCCAGTGCATCTGCACGTCGCGGCTGATTGATTTTTAACTGCATTATGCAAAGGGAGCAGCAGGGCCTCGCTGTTTACGAGGCGCCGCGGAAGCCGCGCGCGAGGATTGCTCACGGCTCAGGAGGCGAGGGACAGAGCAGGGCAGGTCCCGTGGGAGCAGCCCGGTATCTCCGGGAGGATCTGGCTGGGCCCATGTAGGACATTGCTCTCGTCACCCAGCAGTAACTCCCCGGGGCACAGGTTGCTGTGCCACGCGCCCGGGTTATGCAGCACTCGTCACGCACGTCGCTGCAAAGCCGTGTTAACCAACAGCCGCCCCACTGCACAGCTCAGGGACCACAACTTGGTTCTTCTTGAGCTCTTGTGGTGTCCTACAGCCTGTTCCCAACACAACTGCGGAGGGAATCTGGGGTGACAATCAAGGAGAACTCCCTGGTGGCAACTGCACCTGCAGTACCTTGCGCTGCTGGCCCTCGTGAAGGTCCTAGGTGCTCACATGAAGTTTGGGGACCCACAGTTCAGGTCCTCCCTCAGCCTGGAGCTTTGTGTTTCCCTGGCTGACCTGTTCTAGCAATGGCCAGAACTAGAACCCATGGACTGGGTCTGGTGTAAACGAGCCCTGGACATCTGAGACATGTCCATGAGAGAACTCCTRTGGTGAGAGATGTCACTGGGGCCTCGGCAGAGTGGCTAAACACTGATCTGGCCCTGAAGTAGATGGGGAATATGGAGAACATACCATTCCCAGGACAATATCCTGGATAGTCCCGCATGCTCCCAGCAGTGACTGTTGCCCCTAGAGCTACCTTTGGAGCAGCTTTTGGGGTACGTGGATCCCCCTTACATGAATCGTGGTCTGAGCTGGACAATTAGCACCTTCCAGCCATTTCCCCCAGCACCTCGAGTTGCTGCTGAYTTCTTGGGGTTATTGCTGTGTAGGGAGGGATGCATCCAAAACAYCCCCAGCGCCCCGTGCCCTGGAGCCCCCTTAGTCCCTACTCCAGCCCTGTCCTGGAGACCCCCTGAGCCCCCCAGCACTCCAGGCTGCCTCTRAAACACCGCAGGCTGCCTCAGAAGTGCCCCAGCCCTGCCCCAGAGCACCCCAGATACCCCAGGATCCCATGCCTGGTGCTGCCTGAGGATGTCCCAACACCCCCAACTGCTCCAGGGTGGCCCAAATACCCCCATTACCCATGGACTGTCCCACACACCCCTCAGTGCTCAAGGGCACCCCAAACTCCCCAGATCCCACTGCCCCAGGGCACCCCACATCCCCACCTGGCTGCTCCACAGGGTCCCAAATCCAACTGCTGCCTGGGGCACSCCACACCCCCCAGCTGCTCCAGGGTCCCCCAAGCTTTCTGGTCCCCACTGCTCCAG